AGGACAGAAAATTCAAAACCAAACCCAAGTTTGTAAGATAATCTTATAAATACATTTGACTTCTAAACCACATGAGATTGGTATAGATGAAGAATTAAATGAAACTGCCATTTAATATCATTATTAACACATTGCGGACCAGTAGTTTTATTGCTAGCTTTACCCAGTGGCCAGATAAGTTTCTATTGAATGAGTACAAAAAAACGTTTTACATAAATGTTAAAGGCACGCTTTAAAATTAAATACTCATTGCATTTTGAAGTTATTTATTACATGTTCTTACAAGCTAATATCTTTTTAATGTGTGATACTTTGTAAAACACTGTGTACTATGAAGCAAGAATTCTCGTGATCTGTCCGCAATGTGTTAACTTTCAGAAAACTTGAAGATCTAAACTATGGGAATGTGTAAGAAATACCCGTTAATATAATTTTTGGTTAAGGAGAGACTCTTGAGGATGTCAAAATCAGACACTATAAATCAAGTTGATAGAACTGTGCTACCTAACATTTTTAAACTATGCATTTTCAAAAGCCATAAACAAGAGTTAACTAGAAAATAACCAGGTGTGACAGTATTTACCAGATGTATCAGAAACAGTAAATGTCTTCTCCTTATAACTAGTTCTGTTAAATCACCGAATAAAAGGAAGTCTACTAATAGATAAATCGACAATGGTAATAAAAAGGCAAGTCATAAGAGAAATGCAGATGACTAATAAAGAAAAAGTTCCCCATCTCAGAAGTAATTAAGAACTGCAATTTAGAACCATCTTCAATTCTGTTTTCGACTTATTATGTATATTTATGGACTTACATCACTGTCTTCCCCACAGTCTGAGCGCATTTAGTGCAGGATCCGTCATCTTGATTTTTTAAAATACCCATCCTTTCCCAATGCTGGTCACACAGTTGGGTGGATAAAAGGATATAGAGATGGATGAAATAATGTATGTCTTATTTAATTTCCAGAGCTGGTCACAGATAAGGAATGTAGGTTGAGCATGGTTTTTTTTTTCTGTTTTCGCTTCTGTAGTCATGGATACATTATATGTTCACAAGAAGAATTTTGAGAAGGGATTTGAATGTTTTTTGACATAACTTTTTTTACTGTGCATGATTTTCAACATATTTTCAAACAAATATGCTAGGAATTTTTGAAAATCCTTTCAGGTTGCAATTTAAACCTAGTTCTCTAGATATTCTGAGAGACCTGGGAAGTATCCAGCTGTTAAGAATGAGGGAAACGAAGCCTGTTTATGATGTGAGATGTGGGGGAAGGAGCAATGATGAGAGAAAATAAACTGCTAATAGGAACAAAATAGAATGCAAGGCCAGGGTGGGAGGTATATGTTACTGTGTATAATAATGAAACTATCATCTCTAATCTTGTATTAGAATATACGTTCCAAGATGGTAGAGACTGTGGTTGCTGGCTCTAGAATAGTGATGGCTGGCACACAATGAGGTTAATAGCTTTTTTTGAAAGAATAAAAGGCCCACATGCAGCTTTGTGCCCTCTTTATTGTGTTTTTTTTTTCATGTTACATCACATACGGTTTCACATCACCTTTATAGCCATCATTATAAGTAGCAGCAAAATATTCCATTGTATGCCACATAATGTACATAATCATTCCCTTACTATTAGTTGCTTGCTTTTGCTGTTAGACACAATGCTACAGTGAATATGTTCCTGCTTACCTTACAGTCTTTTCAATACTCAGGATTATTTTGTTAGGACAAATTCCTGGATATGGTCTTACTGGATCAATAGACATGCACATACATTTTGGCTCCTGACACAAATGCCCAGTATCCTTTATGTAATCCAACACATAATTAGTGTCAGTTGTTTCAGTTGGCATATGAACTACCCTGTGTTGTCATAGCCAGGAAGTCCTGCTGTCCTCATCAGGGTACTTTGTAGATATTTTATTCATCTGAAGATTTAGAGTGGAAGTCTGAACCCTCATAAATAATACATAAATAGAACTAGAGAAAGGCACTGTATTTTGAGTCAAAGAAAATTGACAGCAAGGGTAATGTATTCTTTTATCACATAATACAGAGAAAAGAGTAGGAAGATAATTGCTGCTATGAATTCCTAAAAGTGTTTAAACATGTCAATTAAGTAGAAAACAAGGAAAGATGGTGGCGGATATTGAAGATAGACATGTTATCTTCTTACCTTTTTTGGGGGGTTGGGGGGAGAAGGGCTTTGGCTTTTTAACTCATTCATTATAGAATTCACAAGCATTTTATAGCTATACATTTTAACTTTTATTTTTCATAGGAGAAACTGTCAATGTGGTGTCAGTTTAAGTTTGTAGCCTGGAATGTTTACAAAGACTATTAATTGCCACTATATTTATATTTATGTGCCCCTTTAAAACTGCACATATTTGTCAAATGTCAGTAAAAGCTTAGTCTGTTCAGCTAGGATCTGCCAGTACCTTGTACCTAACGCCTCCCCATCTGAAAGCACGTGACTGAGGCCTTCCCCACAGGAGCTGGCCATTAGTATTGCTCTTGACTCATTGGTTCCAGACCTTGTAGGTAAGACTGTTAGAGAGTACCTACTGGGTCCTGTGACATGCACCTGTCTCCTGCTTTCATTGGCATATTGGTTTGGGGAATGGATATCCTGGATTCCCTTCCAGGTTCGACATTACTGATGACTTCCTGCAAATTTTAGCCAACTCTTTGTTTTCTAATTAATTACTGTCCATATTTGCAATGTGTTGATTAGGTTATTTGTGTGACTTCTCTAAGCTGGTCTGTAAGTCTGACATATGACTCTAATTTCACCCTTCCTAGCATAGTGTTAGTTCTTTAATTTTACACAGGTCCAATTATTGAAAAATAACGATAGCCCTGGGATTGGAAAAGGGAAACAGTTCATATGCAAAGAACATGGTTGCTATTGAACATTTTTACATCACCAAATAGACAACAAAAGTTGAAAAAATATAAAGGGAAATTAACATCTCTCTTGATGGAAGATTGTAATAGTTCTACCTTGCTATATAAAGGATACCAAAAATCAGTAAGAATAAAGTAGAGATATAAACAGCAGAGTTAACAAGCCTGATCTTATGGCCGGCCATACATACAACATTGTACTCACAATGGAGAATACATTTCCCCCCTCAAGTACTCACGGGAAGATGCACGCGCTACCAAAGCAAGAAGGATATGTCATTGGGATCTACTCGAGTCTCATCCAGATTGCCTGGCTATATTCAAGGCTTCAGATTCTACACACTAATGGAGAAATTTATTTTTACTCCTATTCAGCTCTACTTTTCTCAGACCATCTTAATTCTATGAAACGGCAAAAGAATCTTTGCTAACTCCTTTCTAGAAGTCTAAAGTAGAAATTAAGCTGCTTTCCCATCCTAATTGAATCTCTCTCTTTCCTCTGGCATCTGATGCTAGTTTAAAAACATCAAACTGTATCTGGATACTAGTTTCTTCAGTCGTTGAAATGGCCTCGGGTTTACTGTACACATATTGTGATGTAACTGCATTGGAGAGGAAGTCATCGCCATTATTTGTTAAAGTTTTATTATACTTCTCAGTTTTCTGAGTTTCTCTTGCTTTCTGAATAAGGTTTATAAAATAAATTTAGATAGTTCCATAAAAATGCTAAATTATTTGTTTTTTAACCATATAAACAACATAATTGATACTTTTATTAAGTGTCTTATTTTAACAGAAAGTTTTACTTCGTTAAATCTCACTTTTTCTTTCTCTTATGTATATTTTTCTCAATGGCATTTTCTTCATGCTGTACCGAATCTCATGCCTGTGATATCTGAGAGTTATTGATAAGATTTTTTAATATCAGCTATGTGCCAGTTAAATGGGTAAATATTCTAGAATGAATTGGTGTGTGGTAAAGATGAAATGCCATTAATTAAAAGATAAGCCAAGAAAACATGTTTTTTTTTTTTTTTATGATGATGATTTGAAAAGCCAGCTGTTGGCAGACTTACTAGTATCCCATTCTTAGGAAACTGTACTGGGAAATTAACAGAAAAACACTCATTTTTGTGATGCTTATTTCTTTCTCTTTGACCAGAGCTTTAAAAAAATCAGGTAAAGTAATAGGCTTGAGATAATTAACTTCACTTTTTAAAATATAAATAAAATATCTAGTAAAGACTTTTCAAGAAGAGATGGGGTAAAATCCTCAGTATGCAAAAACACTTTTCTGGGAAACAGCCTCTTACCTGAACAAACCCTTAGTATTTCCCCCCGGCCATCCTATAGAATAACAGCCTATGTGGTCGTGACACCCTCATGCTGTAACGAGCGATCACCAGGAGGCTGCGTGCGCGGTGAGGTGCGCATGGGTGGGCGAGGGCTTGATGCTGAGTGCGGTGCAGAGGTGGGTCCCGCGGCTCCTCACAGCACAGAGGTGGGTCCCGCGGCTCCGCGTGGTGAGGCCAGGGGTCCCGCGGCTCCGTGCAGTGCAGAGGTGGGACCCCTGGCTCTGGCCTACCTCTTTGGGGCAGTCCATCGAGGAGTCCCGGGTGGGTGGGCAGGGCCTACATCTTTGGGACGATTGATTGTGGGGCTCCCGCACTGTGAGAGGGCACAGGCCAGGCTGGGGGCCCCTCCCAAGTGCACGAATTTCGTGCACCGGGCCTCTAGTACATAAATAATTGTGTTGTATTTATATTTGAATTAACCAAAGAATAGATTTTAATAGCTGCATCTGCTCTGCTTTACCTTAAGCTAAATTCTTATCACACACCAGTTTTGTACTGTAGTGCACTAATTTTCGGAATGGCTGAATAATTATTACAAGCTGTGAAGCTTATTGTTATTTTCCTTCTTGATTGAGCCATCTGTCAGACACAGAAGCAAAGATAAAAATCTCATTGAGCCACCAAAGATTTGTATCGCTTAATATGTCTTCTGAGGAGGCACGTTTATCTGGGGGAAAAATAATGCTGCATTTCAAAGGGAATTGTTTTTCTTCTTTGCAGATGGGGAACTCAAGGAGATTTCACCACCACCCATCCCAGGCCCGTGGTCAAAGTGAAGCTCTTCACAGAAAGCACTGGCGTCCTGGCCCTTGAAGACAAAGAACTGGGAAGGGTGAGTTGCGACCAGCTCGGTGTGTTCAAGGTCATACAATTTTAACTTCTTTTCATTCAGAGTCATTCTCCAGGAGCCCAGCTTGCAGCTCTAATGTATTAAACGTAATTGTTGATAACATAGTGTTGTGATAGGCTTTGGGTATGTAAGGGGTACCTATAAGATCATAGTCACTGACTCGAGTCATTCTTCTCACACAAGTCCTCTACAGGCCGACTTGTACTTCTTGGTAAAAGGTAATTCTCGTTCAAACATTTCTGTCCATGGGTTAAAGGCATCATCTTTGTGTTTGAAGTAATCTGCTCTTTATGTTTATTACGGTTAGACTAATTACGGAACTCTCTTACATGTATTTTTTCTCTTTTATCTCACCCTAACCAGGTTGCTTAGTGGTTAGAGCATGGGCCTGCAGACTGAAGGGTCACAGATCAGATTCCATCAAGGGCACATATATCAGTTGCAAGCTTGATCCCCAGACCTGGTTGGGGCTTGTGTGGGAGGCAACTTATTGATGTGTCTGTCTCATGTCAATGTGTCTTTCCCCGTCCCTTCTACTCTCTCAAAAAATCAATGGAAAAATGTCCTCGGGTGAGGATTAACAACAACAACAAAGAATGGAAATAATAAACATATGTGTAAAAAAACAAAACAAAAAGCAAATGTACGATGATGTATGCTGTTAATTATGGGGGAATTGTCACAGGTATATCAGAACTTTCAATACCATCTTTGCAACTTTTCTGTAAAAAATTATTTCAGAATGCAAAGGTTGGTTTTAAAAAGATTTATAAGAATAAGGATTTAAAATTAAATGTTATTAAAATATTTTTAAAACACTTTACCATATATATTCTAAGAAACAAGTATTTTCTTACACTTCAATTCCTTTATCACACCTAGGAAATTTAATATTTATTCAATAATATGTGCTAGTCAACATTCAGAGTTCTCTAATTATCCCAACATGTCTAGAAAAGCTAGATTCCCTCTCATCCAGATTACAGTCAGGGTCACGCCATGTAGTGCATTGGATGTTATGACTACTTAGTCTCCTTTACTTTATAATGCCCGCCTCTATCTCTTTTTTTTTTTTTTTTTTTTTTTACCCCCCCCTTTTTTTTTTTTTTTTTTTTTTTTTTTTTGTCACGATGATGAAATTTTTGAAGAGTTTGAACTAATTTTGTAGAATGTTTTTTATTCAGGACTTGTTTTATTATTATTTTTTCATCATTAGATTCAGGTTAACATTTTTGGGAAAAGCACTACCTTTATGATGTTTTGTGCTTTTTGTTTTAATTGTGTCATATCTGGAGTCAGATAATGGCAGATTATTTTGATATTGATGGTAATTAAACATGATTTCATTTGTCTTTGTTTTCTGGCATTTGAGTTATCAGACTCAGCCTATACCCTCCCTGCCCTCAGCCTGTAATCAGCACTGGTACCTTTTACTAATGATGGAATTTAGAAACCAACATTCTGTGTATCATCAGTTCTGGTAAAGAAATTATATATATATCATGAGTTTCCTGGTTCCCCACAGCATCAATATACTTACTCATTTTCTGTCTTATAATACATACAAAATCCTTTCAGAAAAACCACAACAGTACAGAGCCAATAACAAGCTTACAAAGTAAAGGTCAGCATTTCTTTACAGATTTTTTTTTTTTGTCCTTAGAATATATTCCAGTAAAGGTATATGTCTGATTGCTGTGTCAAAAGTCACTTAATGCAATGGAAGATAATAAGACTTCTTATTAATATTCTAGTGAGTGAAAATAAAGAAATTGCAAGTTTAGTCATTATGAGGATTTTCATCAACAAATATATTAGATAATAGTTTTCCCCTGAGCAACTAACAGGCTTATTTAATCAGTTTTCCCTGCTGAGAAAGTTTGACTCCACCCAGCTTTTAACTGTCATCTGGAGGTATTGCTTCTCTGGATCCCCACCCCTTGTCTATAAATTGAGCAAGGTGAAATAAAAACTCTCTGTTGTCATTGCTAGTTCCAGTTCTCTATCATTGTATTGGTTTACCAATTATCATTACTGCTTACCATTGGATCCGAACCCCATTTAATCCTCTTTAAGGCTGGTAGTAACCTTCCATCCTATATAATAAAAGTCTAATATGCTAAGCATCCGGTCATCTATTCAACCAATCAAAGCATAATATGCTAATGATATGCTAAGGCTGCTCAACCACTCGCTATAATGTGCATTGACCACCAGGGGCAGACGCTCCGACTGGTAGGTTAGCTTGCTGCTGGGATCCGGCCAGGCCGGACACGCCTTGGAGCCTTCCCATGGTCCCTTCCCAGCTGGCCAACCTCCCACATCCCTCCCCGGCCCCATTCGTGCACCAGTGGGGTCCCTCAGCCTGGCCTGTGCCCTCTTGCAATCTGGGACCCCTCAGGTTTCAGCCCGATCCCACTCAACATAGGAGCTGCCCCCTCGTGGTCAGTGTGCTCCCAAAAGGGAGCGCCACTCAGCCAGAAGCCCGGCTCACGGCTGGCAAGCCCAGTGGTGGTGGCAGAAGCCTCTCCTGCCTCCGCTGCAGTTGGACGTTCCCCAAGGGCTCCCAAACTGTGAGAGGGCGCAGGCCGGCTGAGGGACCCCCTCACCCTCTGAGTGCATGAATTGCATGCACCGGGCCTTTAGTGTTTAGATAAGGAAAATGAGAATTGGAGAGGTTAAAACCATTGTGTAAGTGCAAGAGTCAGGATTTGAACTCAGCTTACCTGACTCCAAAGTCTGCATCCTACAACAATTATTAAACGTGACACCTGATAAAATGAGGACATTTGACAGTGTTTTAGAAATCATGTTGTGAGTATAGGCCAATTTAATGTCATGACTTAAAGCAGGAACCAAATATAATTTAAGCTAAAGTCATTTTATGCATAGCCATTTAATATACTTTAAATCATTTCATACAATGATTTGACTCTGATTAGGGTTCTCCCTGGCTGCCAGTGTCTTTTTATTTCTGTGAGTGCTTCTCAACTCTGTGTGCAGATAAGAACCGCAGTGGGGAGTATTGGAAAAGAAGCAAGTTCTGGGCCCACATTTTTTTTTAGTTGATTTGGGGTGAACTCAGGAAGGAGTTCTCAGGAGATACTAATGCACATTTAGGATTGAGAATTGCTGCACACTGATACTAATGTGTAGCCAGGGTTTAGAACTGATAATTAATAAGGATAAGAAAAAGTCTATCATAGCATATAGTTTTGTGAAATGGTAGCTCAAAATTAGATAGGCCTCGGCTGTGGAAGGTTGTGTTTTTTTTGGCCAGTGCTTGACATGCAGATTATGTTTGTAGATGGCAGATGCCAGTACTTATTTATGGAAATGGAGGTGGCATATGGAGATTTTTCATCTGAATTGGTTGCCAGCCCTCCACCAGGTACTAAGGGAATACCTGGAGGCAGAACAGGGAATGTTTTATATTATGGGGTTGTTCTACCAGATAAGCAGTTGACCAGCCAAGCACCCAGAATTCTAAGGTTTATCATGATCAAGATAATTTTGTCCAGAAACCTTTAAAAGCAAGTTTAGCCATACTAACGTAGCCCTACGAAAATTTAAATAATGATCCCACAGGACATCTATTTGTGGGCTAGGCAATTTCCATTGAGAATTTCAGAATGAATTGTACTCCCCGGTCGGTATTTAACTTGCCAAATGGTTTTCTTGAGTACAAAATGAATTTTTGAAATTTCTTCCCAAATAACTTTTTACTTTTAAAAGTGTTGCTAAGAAGACATTCTTTCTGCCAGTTATTAGAAAAATAACCTGGGGGAGAAAAAAATGGCGACCAGCAGGAAGGTAGGGAGGGAGAGAGTGTGAGAGTGCAAAGAAGTGATAGAGGAGTGTGTGGACGTGTGTGGTGTGTGTGTATGAGCTAGGGACAGCTAGATTCTGCAGGTCTTCTAAGGGGCTGCTAAACCGGGCAGTCTTAGGCGGCGGAGTCCAGCTCCCGGCGCGGACACTCCTAGGCGGCCAGCCCAGGCACAGCGACCACGCCATCTTGGGAAACAGAGCTGCTTGAGACTAGGATCCTGGCCTCAGCACCACCCAGTCTGATCTCAGACGCATACCAGGACCCTGCAGCCACTGGGGACAGAGACCTGCGACCACAGCTACAGACCTGCGGACACCAAAAGTGCGGAGATCCCCGCGGCAGATCCGTGAGTAACAGAGCCCACCCCCCCTTCCCGCAGGCTCGCGGGCAGCGCCATAGTAACTGATAGACCCGCCCCTTGCCG